AAAAAATCTGGTCGGGAGAGCCGCGGGAATGCAGAGCTCTAACTCCTATCTCTCCCAATCCAACAGCACATCCTGCTGGCAGAGAATGAATTTGCATATATATGCCAACATTGTTTGTGTCATATCAGTCAGAAAAGCAGTTCTGAGCTTTTTAAAAAAAAATTTTTTTTTTAGCTAACTTAGTTGTTATTCTTGGCTGAATAACTCTAGAAGGTTTTAAAAGCCCTTTAAAATTAAATATGTACACAGTTTGGATTAAATGAAAGTATAGTCAAATTTTTTAATTAGCATGTTTTTGTGTTTTGCTTTGGTACCGAAATTGGTACCGAGAACCGTGGATTTTCACTGGTATTGGTACCCGAATACTGAAATTTTGGTACCGTGACAACACTACACCAAATACACCAAATAATGTTCTTTTTTAGCAACGTCATATGACCCTATGAGTATCTTGTATCTCGTGTAAAATTAACATTATGATGCTGCCATCTTTCTGAAGTCATTTTTACCCCCTGTAATTTGACTCTGAATCTCAGGTGAAAATTGCCATTTTGACCCCCCTCTACAAAATAGTGGATTACTCAGTAAATATTCATCCATGACATTTAATATTTTGGCTTTCATCACAATACATGTCTATCTTTCTTCAGAAAAAAATATTAGCAAAATCAAAAGTTTGAGCCGGGGACCTCTGGTTGAGTTGACACGGAATGACCCTGCAATATTCAGCCTTCTCTGACCCTCTGAAACAGGCTGTTTTTGCTGCTATACCTTTAATAATTCTGTATGCAAATGACTTAATTGTTTACATAAATATCAGACTCCTTATTTTAAAAGCTGTTGGAAGATCCATCCTGTTTTACTTATGCCCCTTGAATACAGCGTTTCACTGTGGTAACGTAATATACTGTAATGTCACTTAAAATCTGTCAAGAAAAAAGCCACTAGAAACACGTCCTTGACAAACAGCCATGACCCTGCAACAGATCTGACACACTCAAACACACTCACTGCTGCACTGAAAGAGAGAGGAAACAGTGTCCTTCTGGGAATTAGAGAGAGGTCATTCAGTGTCTAGTGTGTCCTCGCTCATGCTGTTGAATTCTCCTTCAGCGTTACTGCTCTAAAACACCAGCAGGTGTGCAAGCAGATCGGTGGGAAAGTTACTCGTCTCTTCCATTTCTCCAGCTCCTCCCTGGAGCCCGTCGTCTGTGTTCCTGCCTGTTCGAGCTGAGCTGGGAATACATCTTCATAACTCGGATCTCATTTTAATAAGTGACCTAAGCACAAACCTCTTCCTATATGTCCATGAGAGAAACACTACGAAGGCCTTATGGTGACGGACTCTGATGCCCGTGTTATACGTTTTTGCTCTGAATAATGTAAGTTGTGTAACATGCAAGCTCACTTTATTCCTGTATCGATGTCTTTTTACCGTGCTGTCTGTCTCTCACTTCTCCAGGAGGATTTAGGCAGTCGTGTCGGCTTGTCACCACGGAGAAAGCAGGAGAGAAAGTAATTGCGTTGTTACAGTGCTGGTAGAAATCCCATCAGCCTTGTGGACAGGCCTGTCACAGAGCATAAAGAGCTGGCTAGAAACTTAAGCATCCATAGACAGGGCAGCAGCGGTGGCGGGAAGGGAAACGCCTCTCGCATAGAGCCAAGGTGTCACAGGAAGCAGATGAAGCTGCTGCTGGTAGTGCAGGAACAGGGCCAGCTGCTGTTTCCATTAGCCAGATCTGTGCTGATAAGAACAGGGATGCTGGTAAATATCCAGGCTGAACAACCCTGATAACCCCAGGTAGATGTGCTCTTGTTTTAGGCTCTGATCTCCGGTCACTGGATTGATTTGCATTCTGAATGAGTGTCAAATACAAGCTGCCGGTGCTGATGCAAATAGACAGGTAGATAGACAGTCACGTATCTGCTTGAACTTTCAACATCATCTTCACTCTTGATTGGCGTGTTGGCTGGTAGGTGTGGTTATTGCACATTAAATGACAGAATACACAGATTTATGAAGTATTTAAAGGTGTAGTATGTCATTTATTTTTACTAGAATCACCAGATGGGACTGCAAATAGAACAAACATTTATGGCTGATACTGCTCTTCAGAAGTTTGGAATAATTAAATATTATGTAGATACTGATAAAAAAAAATAGTAAGATACTGTAAAACAATAGTATTGTGAAATATTATTACAATCTAAAAAAAAAAAAGAGCCGTTTTCTATTTGAATCTATTTTAAAATTTAATTTAATCCTATAATGCCAGTATTTTATTTTCAGCAGCTTTACTCCAGTCTTCCGTATGACATGATCTTTCAGAAATCATTCAAAATATGCTGCCTTGGTTTAAGAACCATTTTTTATTATAATTTTTTTGCTGCTTCATATTTTTGTGAAAACCGTAGTTCACAACCATTCAAAAGTAATCAACATTATTAATAACTGAACACCAGCAATAATTGATAATAACTGAAGAATCATGTGACACTGAAGACTGGAGTAATGACTGCAGTTATTTTAAACTGTAATAATATTACTGTTTTTGCTGTAAGACAAATGATGTAATTTATTGCAGTGACTTTAATGCACTTTTTATTTGGCTATTAAATTTCCTAAAGGTGCATGTGTTTAGATTCTTCCTGCCTTTCTCGTTCTCTCTCTTCGGGTGCACTTTAGCTCATCCTCCTGTCACCTCTCCTTGTGTACTGTAGAAATCTTTTGTGCTTACCCGGCTTGGGAATTAATCAAGGTTTTAATGCCTCCCTCCTTCCCTCTATCCCTTAATTGAGTTTTGAGGGGAAAAGGAAGGATTTTTTTCTCTGTTATTGTTTTTAAGTGTGACTGGAGCTGAAAAGCATCTGGATGTGTGTCAGAGCAGAAGTAAACATGTCAGAGGTTTAACTGAATGGAAGGCTGCGCTAATGGTGCCAAACACGTGTGGCATCAGTGAAAAGTGATTTGTAACAGCATTATTAGCTGTGGGAAGGTGCATCTAGAGAGACTGGAATCAGCACTGTGCCTCTTTTAAAGCTTTCATACAGAGGAAGATGATCTCCAAAAACAAATGTGTCATCCTGAGGTCAGACCTTTGACCTCAACTTGACCTTAAAACATGAAAGTATACTGAAAAAAGGCCACAAATCAAGATGATGTGATTGTCAAAAGCCCGGAATAGAAGGTTCTGGTATTTTGTCTTCACTGTTTTAATTGTGAATCTGTGTAAACTGACAGTTGGACTTTTGTTGGCATTCTATTCTGCACTTTATTTTAGAGTATGCACAATTTGTAAAATAAAGGGCTATTTTTTTTTCAGCAGTCATTTTTTCACTCTTGTCACTTACAGATAATATTTCTCTATTTCTCGCCATGAAAATAGCCACAGAAGCTGGAATGGTGTCAAACACAAACAAACTTGTCACTTACAGTTCATAAGCTCATAACTCGCCTAAAAAAAATAATAATAGTGGTGCAGAAAATGGTAATACACATTTCTCTTTACTATATTTGTTTACTTTTCTCATTCTCACCATCTGGTAAAAAAAGTCTCTATTTCTTGATCTATTACTTGGTATTTCATAAATCTTAATGTTTGTTACTGAAATTTAGGCAAGTAAATTATTTGTCTCTTTCTCCGCCTCTGTATTAGTACATTTTTTTTTTATACAAATTTTAACTAATTAACATCATCATCTGAATAGATCATTGTCTGTAATCTAGGTGTCCGCTTGGTCTGAACGTGTTTTGGTTTGCTCATGTTTTTCTCTCTTCTTCTTCTCTCTTTCTCACCAGATGGTCACAAGAACAAAGAAAATATTTGTGGGTGGATTATCAGCGAGCACAGTCGTTGAAGATGTGAAACAGTATTTTGAACAGTTCGGAAAGGTAAGACCAGAACATTACTCCCTACTGTGATATTCCAGTATGAACATCTTCAGATTTCCATGCCTAGGCGAGCACAGACTCGCTCGTGTCTGCTCCGGATGTATTCGTTACAGTGCAGTGCTGGAAATGAGGGCACAGATGTGTGAAGGCGGTGTGGTTGATTCAGGAAACTGTTGTTGGTGTTTTCAGTAATGTTGAAACTTACAGAGTGAATGAAGTATTTATATCCAAACATTTACTGCCAAGTAGCTGACATTGATTAGCACCTGCCTGGGGGTGGGGCTATAATGGGTGTGGCTGGGATGAGATGAGTGAAGTTGGGGGTGGAGTTTGGGCTGGGAGTGGGTTGGGTTTGGCATTGTGGGTATGGCTAGATTGTTGTGGTTAGACATAAGGGTGGAGTTGGACTGTATTTTTATATGGATTTTGTTGCCATAGTTATGGAAATTTCAACTCTGAATGAAAGACTGCTGGCTGTTACTATTACCTGTCTGCTTGTATAAATAAAAATGAATCGGAGTGTAAGTATTCGCCACGACGGCTGCAATCATCATAGCTGAGCAGGACTTGATTGACTTGATTATATGAGACAAGCTTTTTTAGCTTCTCATGGCTCCTCTTCTTAGCTTCTCGTGGAAGATTTTAAGAGCACAAACAAATCAGTGTGATTGAACATGTCATCTGAAATCAGAGCCCCTCTCTTTCTCTTGTCCCAGCTCTCTCTCCCTTTCCCACAGGCTGCGAAAAGGCTCTCTTTCAGGCTTTCTTTTTCAGGTGGATTTGTATGTTATTAAATAAACTGGCAATCCGCTGTACACTGCCATTATCCCTGTGTATCTGTGCATCACTGAGACTCCCACAAATGGGAACCCGGTCCTTTAGGGCTTAGAGAGAGAGACAGCGGTCAGGCAATTCACATGTCTCAACTGGACATGTTTGGAATTTCTTAGTGGACTTAAATGCCATCACTTGTGTGTGTGTGTGTGTGTATGTTTAAGTTCAGTTGTCTCTGCATGGATGTGGTTTATGTGCTTCAGTGCTCATGGTGAATTTGTGTATGTTTCTAATTTTGTGTGTGTGTGTGTTTTGGGTAATTGTGGCAGTTGGTTAAAAGCCGAAAGGAGGAAACAGGTGGTGATTTCACAGTTTTCTTACCTCTTTCAGGGAAAACTCTGCAGAGAGAAGTTTTCAGTGTTTCATTGGCTAAACAAGTGACAACACAGTGAAAAACAGTGCACATTTTTGACTTCTGCTCTTTACAGCCTCTTTTAAAGCCCTATGAAATCCATTTTTTCCCCCAAAATTCCATTTTATTTTTTTTCCAAATACTCTTTTAATGGTTAAATTAAATTTTATGAACCAAAAAGCCTGTCTAATTGAAGTAATTCAATTAGAAATAATGAAAATTCAAATATTAAGCAGAAATGTATTAAAAATTTAACAAAAATTAAATTTTGTTAAGACCCTATGAAATATGTTTTATTTTTTTCTCAAATCCAGTTTTATTTTTTACCAAATTCTCTTTTCCATTACTTTTCTGGATTCCATTTGAATGGTTTCATTAAATATTAATAATCAAAAGCATCTCTAATTAATTAATTTTATTTAAAAAATATATATATATTTTTATTTTTTTATTTTTTTATGTATCCATCTCAAATTTGGCAAATTCTGTGACATTCCACAGTAAATTCCGTTTTTATGACTGGATTCCGCAATTGCGCCCACGTTTTCCGCATTACGAAAATCATAGGGCCCTACTCTTTCTCATTCACATCAAATTAAAGAAACATTTGACCCAAAAATTAAAATTTTCTGAAAATGTACCGTATTGTCCCGAATATAAGACGACAAAATGTGTTTTACTGAGAAAAAACAAGATTTGGTTTTTAAAAAGCCTTTTTCCAAAAGGTACATCTGGAAAAGGGGGGGTCGTCTTATAATCAGGGTCGTCTTATATTCGGGCCAATACGGTAATTACGCTCAGACCATCCAAAATATACATGAGTTTGTTTATTAATTGGAACAGATTTGGAAAAATTAAGCATTACATTACTTGCTCACCTCACCTCTGCAGTAAATGGGTGCCATCAGAATAGTCCAAACTAGGGCTGCACGATAAATCGCATGCGATATTTAACGCGCATCTTGTCAGTAAAGCCAGTTCTTTAATCAGCGGTAAATCTCCATCACCTGCGGGCTTTCACATGGAGCAGCATTAATTACACAGAGCCGTTGTTCACTGACAAGCTGCGCAAAACCACGATCATATTTTGCGCATGTTTTGCGCAGCTTGTCGGTGAACAACGCACGTGATGGAGATTTACCGCTGATTACAGAGTGGCTTTACTGACAAGATGCGCGTTAAATATCACATGCGATTTATCGTGCAGCCCTAGTCCAAACAGCTGATAAAAACATCACAATAATCAACAATTAATTCACATGACTCCAGTCTAATTAACATTTTGTGAAGTGAACAGCTGCTTGTTTGTAAGAACAAATCCAACACTTACATGTTATGTGAGCATGAGTGCGAACACGAGCAAATCAGTTGTCAGCTGCAGTGAAATTAACAGCCACAGGTGTCGCTAATAACAGGGTTTTCTGAATTCTCTATATAGACCCTTTAAATCTATTCTGTCTGTTCTGACAATTAGTCTGCACTTTTTGGTTTTAATACTGGTTGTACATTGTAATGGAGGGATAGAAGTGGAGCAGCCGTTATTAAGCACAAACACTGATGTACTTCAAGCAGGTGTGTGCTTGGACAGAGAAGAAAACATACACAAGTGTGTACTAGAGAGTTCACTCAAGTGCAGCTCTGAACATCACACAGAGACACAGCTGGCCATCGCTCAGAATGACTCCCTCCACAAACACGAGCATGAGAGAGAGAGAGACTGCTGCCACCTCAGGGTGCTTATGTTCTTCCGTTCAGAGGAAACAGAGAATTGTTTTCAGAGGATACAACGATGGTGGGGTCAGAGACAGGAAATGTTTCTTATATCATGGCAGATGTTTAGTGTGCATTGAGATTTTCTAAATAGCAGGCCGGTAATAAAAAAAAAGGCAGATGACTGTTTCCGTTTGTGTGGCGTCTGAGTGTATTGCTTCATTTAGTGACATGAATGCGTAATAACTTCAGCTAAATGGATTTAATGACCATTAGCAGATGTTCACTGCCCCAGCTACCACAAAATGACTCGCAGACTCTGTTTAAAAACGCCAAAATACAGGATCTAGATGCAGATTTCACTTCTCAGAATTCGTTTGTCTTCTGTCTACGGTCTAAAAAAATAAAATATAAATGTGAATGTGCAAGGATGTCCTCATTCTTTTGGAGTTTTTGTATTTGTCATATTTATGTTCCACTGAAATCAGCTGTCTGATTTAGTTACAGGTGCACATTTTCATAATTTTACATTTCGTGGCCCATATAATACCACATCTGCTTTCAGTCTGTGTGTATATGTTAGACATACATTTGCCTAGAGTAAGTGCAATACAATACGTTGGTATAATAAAAACATTTTCCCTTGAAAAGAAAGGCATTTATTTTCATTAGAAAGTGTTGATGAGTGTGAGAGTCAATGAGTGTGCTTATTTTGCTTGATATTCTTGTGAATTCGTGTGCTGTTGTCTTTTGTGATGATATAAAGTATGATAAATTCTTTCCTCTTTAGTAGCTGCTTATTATTTAATATAGACAGGCCTTAATCTATCATTCAAAAGTTTGTGGAAATAAATATTTCTATTCATCAAGGATGCATACAATGGATCAAAAGTGACCGTAAAGGCAATGTTACTAAGATTTTCTGTTTCAAATAAGTGCTGTTCTTTCAAACCTTCTATTCTTCAAAGAGTCTGGAAAAATCGTTTCCACAAAATTTAAGCAGCATGACATTTTTCAACATTGATCAAATAAGCAGCAAATCAGCATATTGGAATAATTTCTGAAGGATTATGTGACATTGAAGACAGAAAAGTCAGCTTTACCATCACAATAATAAATTACATTTTAAAATATATTAAAAAAAGAGAATAGTTATTTTAAATTGTAATAAAAATGTCATACTGTTTTTACTCTATTTTTTATTTTTTTGTTTTTGTTTTACTGCAGCCTTAGTGAGCAAAAGAGACTTCCTTCTAAAACATTCAAAAAAAAAAAAAAAGATAGATGTTCCTGTGGACAGTCTGAATTCTCCTGGCTCTTCATGTGACAGGGTTTTCAGACAGCCATGAGATGATGTCCCCCTCTCTGACATTTAGAGGAGCTGATCACTTGGATGCCTGTGTGTCCACAGGGACTACAGGAATGCACCCAAAACTGCAGCGTTAGACAGATGTTTGTGCGATATTTAGGCTTCAACACACTGTAAATGGAGTATGTCTGTGTGGTGATCTCGTACTGGCTCTGATACTGATCCTGGAACAGGCCAGTGCTCCCGTGATACCCAGCGGTATCTGTCTCGCCCATGTGTTTTTGTAGAAATCTCAGAGAACTATGACCAACCTGTGATTGACAGCAGATCCTCAACTGAAAGAGCAATGAATTTCAAGAGTCATAAATTGTCTTGTGCTCTTAACAGTGCTTCTGAAAAGAAAATTATCTGCCTTTTGTGCTTTAGGTGTTTTTAACCCTCATCCGTCCCTCCCGAACCTATAACAAAAGTGTCCCTCGTGGGTCAAAATGACCCGAAGGCCAAAAATGACACTAATTTTATTTTTGGTCAAGAAAGCTTATATTGGTCCATTTTTATATATATTTGTTAAAAAATTTTATGTAGGTTTTTTTTTTTGGTGATTTTTATTTTATTCACATTAAATTCTGGATATTTTTATGAAAATGAGCATATTTTTATAAATTTTTTCAACAAAACAAAAAACAAAGAAAGGCACAATTTCTGCATATTTAGAATCCATTCAGCCGATCTCCGGGTATGGCAGTAGCACTTTTAGCTGTAGCTTAGCATAGATCATTGAATCTGATTAGAATG